AGAGATGGCAAAAGCTGCATTGCTCTACTACAGTACTGCAGTGCTATAGTGCTGACATTATGAAGGGGAAAAAAAGCGAGGCAAAGATTACCCCTCGCGGATGTTGACGGTAGGAAGTGGAATGCCCGCGGCTACGCATCGCAGACGCACGTATGTGTCTGTGTGCACGGATAAACTCGCAAACATCAGCACGCTGGCGATGCCTGCAAAACACGCGAAGTTTATATTTAATGTATATCAATTCCAATATATAGGAATATAATATATATAGTATAATATATATATATATATATAAGTAATATATATAATATATATATATATATATGCTAGTGTGTTGTGTGTTGTATGTGCGTGCTGTAGCGTTGCAGTTGCACCGCCGCGCTGTTTGTGTGTCGTAATATTAGGTATCAATTCACATATTTATTTCCACATAATTTCCATTAATAATGTATTATTTCAAATTAATTATTTACTATTTACAAAAAAATTACATAAAGTTACAAATTTATCCTTAAAAACTAATCGAATTAATTTAAATAAAAAATTAATTAATAATGTGAAGCTTAATTTAACATAAATATCCCATTGGTTTTACATCGACAAATGTTTGTATTTACACAGTTCACTTGAAATACTGTCTGTTAAAGCAAATGCGGCACAAAGGCATGCACATGCACATGAACGGAGAAATTGATAAGCACTAGATTTGAATTTAGCTATCCAATTTTACTATTTTATTAGTTTTTTCAACAACGGAATTAGAACGCAATATTAGTATGTCACCTGATTTTCTTTCTACTCGCACCACAGAAAAGCTTAATTAAACAAGAATTTCGATCCCTGTAAACATCTTTTCCCCAATGACAGCAAATTCCCACAACGAATATCGACTCATGACAGCTTGACCTACATCATGTGTTGTTTACGTCATGTTACGGTACGTTCACGTTACGTTACGTCTCGTCATCATGCAAACACTTACGTTCGGTGCAATCCTCTCCCACCCAGGGGTCGCTGCAAGCACACGCACCATCCTCGGAGTCACAGCTGCCGTCATTCATGCAGTAACAGACTCACGGGCATCCCGGTCCGTACTTGTCCGGCGGGCAGTCTACCCCCGAAAAACATAGAGCTTCAGAATATAGACGTTTTTAATTCATAGCGTCCTTTATGTCGTAACCAATTCCTAATGCATGCATCATCCTTCAGAATTTATATAAGATGATGTATACATAATAAATAATATAAAACATATACATAAGTAGCGCAACATAATAATGACTCATCAAATGAACACACGCACACAAACACATAAGAGAGAGAGTGGACGCGTGTGAGAGAGAGAGAGAAGAGAGAGAGAGAGAGAGAGAGACGAGAAAAGAGACGAGATAGAGAGAGAGAACGGAAATATAGGGAGAGAGAACGTGAGAAGAAGAGAGCGAGAGTGAGAGTGAAAGAGAGAGAGAGAAAGAGAGAGAGAGATAGAGAGAGAGAGAGAGAAAAGATGAGAGAGAGAGAGATGAGAGAGGAGGGAGAAGAGAGAGAGAGAGAGTAGAGAGAGTGATCGCGCTCTTTGCGTCTCTGACTGCACGTCTACCTTTCTGACAGTCCGCGTCCCGAGTTAACCGGCGATCAGCCACCATCGCCGCTTCCTCCGTTCGTCGAGCAAGTACGGCATCGCCTCCCTGCGAGTGACACACGTCGCTGCATGTCACCCGAAGCTCCCGGCTCACACCGTCGTCGTCCTGCCGCTGCTGTCGGCGCCGGAAGATTACCAACGGCTCCAATCAGCACGAACATCGCGCATATAGAATATCTCGTCTTACAACTAAACTATATAGAACTATCTCGTCTTAACTACCTGAAAACTATATAGAACTATCTCGTCTACACTAAATATATAGAACTAATCTCGTCTTACCTAGAGCTATATAGAACTAATCTGCTCTTACACTACCGAACTATATAGAACCATCTCGTCTACGTAAACTATATAAAACTATCCGCTAACTAAAGAGTATATGCTCTCTGTTACACCTAGAACTATAGAAGATAAAACTATCTCGTCTTACACTAGAACTATATATGAAACATCTCGTCTTACACTAGAGCTATATAGAACGATCTCGTTCTTACAACTAAAACTAATAGAACATCTATTCTTACACAGAGAACTATATAGACTATCTCGTCTACACTAGACGATATAGACTATCTCGTCTTACACTAGAACTATATAGAACTATCTCGTCTTACACTAGAACTATATAGAACTACTCGTCTTACACTAGAGCTATATAGAAACTATCTCGCTTACACTAGAACTATATAGAACTATCTCGTCTTACACTAGAACTATATAGAACTATCTCGTCTTACACATATGAACTATATACAGAACTATCTCGTCTTACACTAGAACTATATAGAACTATCTCGTCTTACACTAGAACTAAATACAACTATCTCGTCATTACACTAGAATTGTAACTAATATATAACTATCTCCACGTCTTACACATAAAACTATAATAGAACTATCTGTCTTACTAGCAACTATATAGAATATCTCGTCGTACACTAGAACTATATAGAACTATCTCGTCTTACACTAGAGCTATATAGAACTATCTCGTTTACACTAGACGCTATATAGAACTATCTCGTCGTACACTAAGCTAAAAGAACTTCTCGCTAATGCTTGTACACTATTGTAACTATGCTTGTAACTAACTAATGCTTGTACACGATTCTAAGCCTAACCCTATCACCCCTAACCTGAACCCTAACCCGAACAGTACCATAATATTTGTTATATATATAGAGATATATAATATAATAAAATATTATTATATTATATATATATATAATATATATATATATATATATTATATATACACGCACGTGCCACAACACACACACGCGCGCGGGTTTATTCCTAATATATAGTACAAACATGTCACGCATAACTTACTGAGTTAGACAGGATGGAAGTGAGCCGAGCAGGAAAACAAAAGCTTCCTGAACTACAGCTGTCGTGTGTGATGCACAGCAACCATGCTCGATATATAGATATATAGATAGATACACACAGCCTCACCAGAGCATCACGAGAAACATTTTATTTTCGATTCGAAGTTTCACGTCCACCATTTTCCGTCGAAGTCGTCTGACAAAAAGTGACATCATTTACAGTCACGTCAAAAAAATGGTCGGTTTTGGAAATCGACGCTGCGTGCTGCCAGCGAGCTACTGCGTGATATTTACAAACTAGGACGTCGTGAGTTTCCTTCCTGCATGCAGCGACACCAGAGCGATAGTCAGTCAATCCATATCCTGTCCCCACGTTCACTCTCACCCAAGTACAGCAACGAATTTTGCGCTTATCCAAACTCTATGCGTGTTATTCAAAACCTATGTGTCCGTAATATATCACATAGTGCAAGTACCGCTGAACTAACACCAGGTGCACGCCATTGCCAGTTATCACAGGCAACTATTTTTTCATCACCCATGAGGAATCTCTGAATGCCACTACAGATTATACAGCTGTATTGAATTAAGAATATATTTACGTATCAGTACAAAGGAAACTGCTACCAACAACACAATGTATAAACCGTTAGGTTCCCCCGAATATAGGCATGGTTAAACACCCCCCTTTCGTGAAGCCCAAAGTAACCACGGTACAAAAAAGTCTGCCCACTTTCACTTTGCTACTTTATTTGTGCTGTAGCGCCAATAGCAAAATGTCTTACTTTCGTTGCACGTAGGACCGGACCACCCTTCACTACACAGACAAGTTCCATTCGCAGAGCAGGGTGGCATTATTTTCACACATGAGGCAAGCATCTTCCTCTCTTACGTAATGCTTCGCCTTCAGAGCTTGAAATCTCTCGTCACCATCGCCTTCCTGTGTCGTTAGCTCAGGGTTTCGAGTGTGTTGTTGCTGCTGTTGTTTTATTAGCGTGATGACATAGTTGTTCTTTCGTTAGCTGATGACAGAGTTGTTCTTTCGTTGAGGTGATGACATTACTGTCTACTTTTACTGGTGACAACATTGTTGCCGTAGCTGTTTCATTGTGACAAACATTGTTGCGTTACATTCAGTGAAGAGATCGTTGCTGTTGTTCCATTTGTTAAGTTATTGTTGGGCTTCTTCTGGATGCCATTACTGCTGCTGCCATAGGCGATGGTGATGCTGCTGCTATTGCTGAGCTATTTGACGATGCCATTGTGTCTGTTTCATTTAATGACAAAGTCGTTGCCTTCCATCTGGTAACATAAACACATAAAACATTTCTAGTAAGAAACTGATGATACTTCACGTACCTATTTAGGCTTCACTGAGTGGCGAAGCAAGGAACTCAAGAGGAAACTTGCTATAGGACATAAAAACATCGGACATAAAATATAGGAATACAATACATAAATATAGTCTGTATACAATTCTTTCACTGGTGGTAACTATGTAGAAGATATGCATTCGTGTACGCGTTGCCATATCATATTTACCTATCTATAAATCATGAAAATTCACGTATCCTTCAGTAATAGCTGTTATACTACAATACGCGAATATAATATACAAAGTATTAGGTATATACATTGATTCATATGTTAAATATTATATATATATATATATATATATATATATATATATATATATATATATATACATATTATCAGGAGTAAATAATAATAGATATCTATAATAATCTATTATTATTCACTCCTGATATTATTGTATAGATGTGTTCAAAGTATTACACAATTCCCTGCTTTTTAACACTGCTTAGCACAAAGGTATCCAACTGCACAATTTAAGGCGGTTTTCGAGGTGAACATCACGTACATATATTACCAGAAATAAATAATAATAAATTAACTAATTATAACTTCAATAAATTTAATTATAATAATAATTTAAAATCGAATTATCCATAAATAAAATTGGAAAATGATACTTGTTCTTGACACCACTATTAGATTAGAAAATATTAAACGAGGCAGTGAACTTCGCGCGTGACTATATGCACTGTATTTGGCAGGAGTCCCCCACCAGCCGTATATGCATCCTCCGCTGCAGCTGCCTGTAAAGATGTCACAGTCGTCGCCACCCAGCCGGCAACGACACTCGCTCTGACAGTTTCGCCAAACCTCCCGACGAACACTCTGCCAATAGTAAACGGTAGTCAGTATTCACACTAACACGGTATAGTGTGTCAGGGCGAATCTAGCTTTCAGGAGACGGGGAGGGGTGATATTTGAGTGAAGCTTTCAGGAGAGACGGTTGGAGGGCTGATATTTGAGTGAAGGTGTGCGAAAAGCACGCCGTGCTAGGGTGGTCTGAGGCATGCCCATCCCACCTGGAAAATTCAGGCAGCTGTGTAGCCACAGCGGAAATCCCCAGTTTCTATCAGCCTACAGACTGACTTTTTATTTTGGCCTTATGTTTACTAGTATCATAACATAGTCAGTGCTGAGCGGGAAGGGGGGGGGTGCAACCCCCCTCTAGATCCGCCACTGTGTGTAGTAGCAGTATTCTATCAAAGTGAAGTGAAAAAATCGTTTTTATTTATTACGACTATTATTATAAAATTATTTGTTTTTATACACTCCTGATACTATGAGGAGTAAAATAATATCAGTAGTAAATAAAAACAAATGATTTTATTCACTCCTAGTATAACAAACAATGTTACGCACGCACGCACGACACACACGCACGCACGCACCGCACGCACGCACCACACACGCACGCCACACCACGCACGCACACCACCACACACACACGACGCACACACGCACACACACACACACACACGCACACACGCACGCACACACGACACCACACACACGCACACACACACGCACACACACACACACACACACGCCACACACACACACACACACGCACACACACACGCACGCACACACGCACGCACAGACACACACACACACACACACACACACACACACACACACACGCACCACACACACGCACCACGCACACACACACACACACGCACAGACACACGCACGCACACACAGACGGACAGACGAGCAGCTTCTTACTCTCCAGGCAGTCCCAGCAGTGAAGCCTG